TCACAATGTGTGTGCGTGTGTATGTCTTGTAATGAATTTAATCGGACCGGTGCCCACCCCGTCTCGGTGATGTTTCTCAGGTACGATCAGGCTGTGCGATCGATGTGCGTTGTTACACAGGAGGGATGAAAACACACGCGAGAAGGCTACAGAAATAGATCTCTGCCAAATGATTTTCAAGTTTGATAGCGGTTTGAGAGTGTAATGAAAAACATAAATTGGCCTTAAGTATTGTTGGCTCTGTTTAGAGATTGTCGTTTTCTGCATGAATAACTCCCTCGCTAGCCCATCTCTTCATGTGAGAGAGCGAATTCAACTGATCCATATTCTACCTTAATTAGTTGTTTTACTGAATCACGAAATTACATGTCTCTAGATATCAAGCAATCTAATCAATTATTTTAATAAAATTTCTCTCTTCCTTTGGAACTATTGTGCCATCAGATGGNGAATAACTTGGGTAGATGCACGAGTGACACTGTTTAGAACATTCAACCATTTCAGTAAGCATCTCTAACCCTCGGTTACAATGATTCCAAGGAAGCATAATGCGACGTACATCTCCAATTATCATGGTCAGGATTTTCATATCTTTATGCCAGGTCCTAGTTTGAAAAATCTTCACTTTTTCCAATCGTGGCTTGCCCTAGTAAAAGTTGCACGCCCCGTCAATCTACTCGGGGACATGTTTAGTCTGTACTCCAGCCAACGTAATCTATGGAGGTTGATCACCTGTTCTAATGGGTGACAATGGTACCCTCGATTCTGCTCCCAAGATCCCAGTTATCCTTGAAGTTCTTCATCCAAATGTGTAGCCTAGAAAACAGCAACCAAAACAGCCACACAAAAGTGTGTGGTTAGTGGTTGTATAAACTGATACGGATTGCGTTATCATTCAATCTCGTGTTGTATCACCCTCTGAGCGTGAACTGCTAAGAAGCACTGCGGTGATGTATATATGTATATATGTACATATGTCCCCGTATCCTATACACTTCCATTTCGTGTCAGGCAGAGTAGTGAATAGTGTAGTAGTTCTGTCCCAATTTTTGCAACAACGGATCCTTTTTCGCGATTCTGGCCTCAAGTTTCCTCATCGCACACGTGGGTGTGTGCGTGGGGGGGGGGGGGGGGAGACGTTGATAGCGCTTTTTCAATCGGATAATTCAGTCACAAATAGCAATATACTGAGTATTCAGTATCGCAGAACAAGCCTTATATCATGCATGATAGTTTTGCGCACATTTTGAAACCTGAGATCAGTTTGACAGAAACACCTTGCCTGACAATGAACACGAATCGATTCATCAAACCGCATCCACTCGGTGTACCACCCGATATCAATTGGAATTTCGGTGTTCTTTCTTGAACATCTACTCCTAGTAATGACCTTACATATTTATCTATCACCCTTGTGTAATTCGAGGTAAATGGTTCACTTATTACCAAGCAATAAACGACAGTACTGCCTACCCGATTAAACAGCGGTGTTCTATATCCGCTTTTTTGGTAATAGTTTTCTATCGCAATTTCCATCTCCCTTGTAGCAAATCATGCTAAAAATCTACCCGTTTTGGGTGCACGAGGTTTAGTTCTACTTGTCGTCATTTTCACACCGATTCATCTACAGACCCCGTTCTTACAACAACCGGTTTCTTAGTTATTTGTGTGTGTGTTCTATTAATCGCATGATGATTAGAAAACAAAACAGACAGACAATGCGATAAGGTTCAAGATCTGTGCGTAAACCTGTTCGCGTCGGTTTTACCGGACAGGGGAGTGTGTTTTGTGGATGCGCGTGCAGACTATTTGGAGCCCCCTTCTGAATTAAATGTTTTGATGTACTTTGCTTGCAAATTGATAGACATTTGGGGGGGAGATCTACCGTGTTATTCGAAATTTGTTGATTTCTGATATGTCAACTCGTTTAACGTACAAAGGAAATGTGTGACAGGCAACCAAGGGCACTGAACAGCTGTTTTGTCCCAACTGAGATTCGTCAGCAATGCGAACTAGTTAGTACAGTGTATCTGCAGTCCAAGGTCCGGACGGAACGGTAGATAGATATCGATGATGAGCTCTCATGGAAGTGAAGCACGATTTTAGTGGTTTTCGAGTGTTTAGTTAACCAAACAACTGAGTTTTGTGAACAGAAATAAAATTAGAACAGCTCGGTGTACAAATCACTACCCCTAGACAGTGCAACGTGACGGGGGAAGGGTTTCGGCTACCACCCTGAAGGTCTGTCGTTAGAAACCCGGAAGAGTCATAAAAATTTTATACTTTTGATGAGCCTCAACAAAGAAGAAATATTTGTCCAGTGATATTTGTCAATCATTGAAATAGTGACTCACAAATAAACATAGTAAACGCTTTATTACTGTTCCAACTTCATCGCAGACTGGAATACAAGTTGCATATGTTTCAAGGAGAAGATGAAATACGGCATTTAACGCCAATTAACCGGATTGATGATTGAAAGATTATTAATTTGCCAATTTCTCGATCAGTGCATAATCCTTGACTGGCCTGGAGTTTGTTCGTGACATCCGATAGTTTTGCTGTTCCTTTTTCCCGGTTCCAATCACAGTTTGCTGGATGAAAGCAACGTGCCTGTTTTTCAACCCAAAGTGGTTCCATTATTCTTTCATCGACTACGCGGTACAAGTGATCCCACGGTGAAATTGATGTTTGGCAGTTCATTGATTTGAAAAACAACAAAAATGTAGTTCAAAATTCGTCGGTGAAAAGCGAGTCCTGTAGTCGATTGTGAAACCACATATAATTGTCCTGATTTATCGCTTAAGGTTTCATGTGAAAACCTTGACATTTGGTCACGAAGAATGGGTGTAATGTTCGGCACAAAGACAACTGTAATTTGCATAAGAACAGCTGAACTCTCACGTATCTGTCGTTGGTTATGTAAGGATGATCTTGGGAAGATTTCTTTTTGATGCCATTTGGCTTGCTCGTTCGCTTGCATCAAATCGATTGACTAAGGCGTAGGAACTAACTGAATCGTACTCGAAAACCCGGTCCCATGCGAATCCCCTCCTCTGATGGATGTGATTTCGCACAATGCTAATCGAAATGAACAAGTGAAGTTCCTTACAAATGGGCTACTATTTTCTCTCTAGATGTTCATCTGACCAATATTGCTGTGCAAAAAACTGCTCCGGATTACGATGCGGAACGGGGCTGTAAATGGTCCGTCTGTCGCCTTCGTCGATTCTTGCAAGCCAAATATGGCTATGAAAAGGTCAGTTCGGTCCCATTCGTTTTCTCCAGTTTCGTAATTGATCATCCGCGCAATTTATTCTGGTCGAAGACGAATTCATGTGAGCGTTGTCCAGTCTCGAGATAGTACTCGCAAATGGGAGATCAAGAAGCTTCGAGTAGATTGAGATGAAAGTGTAAATTTTGAGTTTTGAAAACGTAGTGTATTTATCTTGTGATGTGAACGTGCCCCTTGTAAAAGTGAACGCTGTATCAGATAATATTGAAAAACTGCAGGCTAATTCATAGTAGCTAAACTATCTGGTGAGGACAATTCCCGACAACACGAGACAGCCAGCTTAGTTAAATAGTGCGAAATTAGAGGATTAAAAAGTAACTCACAGCTTTGCATCAACATCTTATAGGCAGTCATGAGACAGCAACCAAAACCGTGGCACAAAAGTGAACTGGAGCACCTAAACTATTGAAAAGTCACGGAAAGTGTTTCGTCCTTGTGAGCACAGACAGTATGTTACGTTTTGGTAACGTAAAACCAATCACTGGAGTCAGAACGGGTAGTCCTGTGGTAAGATATGAGAATTACAACCCCGCCAGTCTTAGTTTTAGTCAGCTCAAGCTGGTGGTGAATACGCACCTCAGATGACTCATGATAAGGACGGAAGAGTTGTACAGTTCGCTTCCGAGGCTGTTCATGAGAACATGTGTTAGATACATTGATGATACCAACAGATGAATCGATTTCCCATTTCAGAAGATCTGTTCTATTCATTTTTTCCTGTATTTTATTATGTTTTTAGTTTTATACCTATAAACCCCATGGTATGTCAAATGGTTTCTCAGTTAAACAAAATCCATGCACATTTGTTCCCGATGTGCTTACTCATCCAGGTGGCAGAATTGTTTCATCAAATCGATGTCATTTTCATCGTTAGTCTTTTGAGTGTGCAAAAGATTATCATCAACGACAAGCATTGTTTCGAACTGTACGGCTATGATATTCTCCTGGATTGTGATCTAAAACCGTGGTTGTTGGAAATCAATGCATCACCTTCGCTGACTGCCAGTTCGAAGGAGGACTACATATTGAAGGTGGGTAACGTGGCGGTATTAGATAGCAGATAATACGACCTCCCCATCCAGTAAATAGTGTTCTGTTGATTCACAAATTTCTCACATGTGTACAACAAAAAGCAGGTTTACTCGAAGCAGAGCCTATAATACAGTTTTTGGTATACAGATCGGAAAGTGCAACATGGATGTCCAACTGGGCGCGATTAGCATTTCATACCACTTGTTGATATAATCTTTGCAAAATAAACTCAGTAAGCAACTAAAATCTAAGCACATATATGGTGCTAATTGAGAAGCACTTTGAAAACTGGTTTATCAATCAGGACAGTAACAAATGAACATGACCGCCTGCTGTATTTGAACTGCTTCGTCTACAAACTTAGTACTTGAAATTTGTTTTTTTTCTTGTACGACAGTAAAGAAGGATATGATTCATTGAAATGATGAATTTATCGTGTAAATGAGGCGTGAGCTGAGAAGCTGAAAAGCACTGGACAGTTTCTTCA